GGGGGGGGGAGATGATAAATATATTTTCGAAGCTATGAAATATAGATTTTTCTGACAATGAATATAAAATATTCGACGGGAGTTTCGTGGATGCATGATGACGATGATCTACAACACGAACAAAGTATCAACAGTACAATCAACAAAAGGATTAACAGTTAAATTAAACGGTGTTAAACACAACTTTTGGACAAGGATGGAAACATTCGAGGTCTCGGTAACGGGGAGGAAACATGCGATAATTAAGTAACAGGGTTTAAACAGGCATTGAAAGGGAAGTGGGGAATGTAACATCCGATAACGTATTAACAGCAACAACGTGCCAAACAGAAACGTGAACAACGGGAGAATCTTGGGTATAGAACGACGAGTGTGCTATGTCGGTGTGACCAAAAGCGTAAAATTCGACACAAACGTGAACAAACAGTAACAATAACATTCAGATAGGCAACATACGAGAAGCATTCAAAAGCAGCATAATACGTTTGTGCGTTGTGTCTGAACAATTCTCTCTTTCGCGCGATACTGTAAATTCTCCTTCCTTTACCGTGAAATGTACCTTGAACGCCTTCGTTCGGATCGTATTATTCCGGACAGAATTCAATTTCAATCGTTACTACAGGCAAAGTACAAATCATCCATAAACGTTTATACTAGAACTACGAGTTCATCGAGTCCCAACTTCTTTTACCCGGGTAATTGACATAAACAATTTTGTTTCTGCAAAAATGTATATATGCGTTTACCCTAAGACCTAAAAACTACATCGTAAAAGATAATCAATTCTATAAAGAAAACTGTGTTAAAAACTATGTTGCTTAATTCGTCAAATGATGTGACTATTCTTAGAAAAAAAATGTCTGCTTACTATATATTTGGATAAGTACTTAATATATAGATCGATTAGACGGATTATTAGATATAAATCTAAACTAATTAATTGGGCCTCTCACGAAAATTTATACTCCTAATCTATGCCTACGAGATGAAGCTATCAACTGTAAATTGACAATATTTGACTTGTAACTTTCAGGAGAATAACGTAAAGCTTAACAGTGGGGAATGTAACATCCGGACAAATTAGCGAAAAATTCGTGTAATAATTGCAATGTTTCATAAAAAAAGTGACAAGAGGTACTCTATAAATTAAGAGCAATTAATAGCAATTACTGTTAACCCACGGCATGGAAGCATTATTAATTTACAGTGGACAGACATCTCACAACGCTAAATATCGTAGCGCTCACGCAACTCGTCCTTATCACTACTCACAGGATATCATCCACTTGTGTCTGGCATGTCTCGATTGATTGTGAGCGTGCCAGCGACGAAGATATGAAATTAAATCTAAGCGCAAAAATACTTACGATACGATTGTGCAGCAATTAGACTTTATACGTATGTGTTAAGTAATTCACGTTCTACATTCGCGTGTCTGTCGATAACGAAAAAAAGAAAATCAAACGGTCAAAAGATGAATTTCACAGATTTTATTCCTTTTCATTTATGCGTGTGTTTTGCGATTATCTGAGGCGCTGAATGGTTAAAACTGAACAGCAGGAATAAAAAATAAGTTGAAACGACGTCGAAATACGGAGATCCCGAAAGGAACCTGTTGGTCTCGCAAAATGGCAATTACGTATTATAATCCAACGACGCTTGTGTCACTATTTTGCGAAACAAACATTTCCTCACATCCTTCTAGCATCTCCGCATAGCCGTCGAAACGATTGAATCTATTCGTGCGTTTTTTTTTGCAACAATAAAACATAAATACTTGTTTCAACTTTAGATTCGAATTGCTTTTGTATTCAGCCACGCTGGATTAATTTCGAGGCATGTCGGCTACAGATTTACTATTTTCGTGTAGAACGTATCATGCTTTATATATTATATATATGCTTATTTCTTTCCTTTTTGTTTTCTTTTTTTTTTTTTTGGATTTTTAAGTTCTTATTTTTTATGATTAAAAAAATTAATGAAAAATAAAAGAAACATAAAAAAGTAAAAGTAATAAAAATAGGATAAACTGATCAATGAGTGAAATCATCGAAATGTAAAGAACACGTCGAATTCAACAAAAATGAAACAAAACACATAACATGTGGTAATGAAGCATGATATAAAGTTCACAAAGCGCAGTTAAAAATCTAAAGTTACAATATATCAGATTTTTCGGATAAGTCTTGAATATAACATTTGGATGCGTAAAAGTTTATCATTCTTATAACAGAAAGTTGTACCGAGAGCATCAAGTCATTATTTATAATTATTACGGCACGACAAATAGATTTTTTGCGGTTTCATACAGTTTTACTTTTCAACTGAGATCGATATTTCTAGTAATAAAAATGACGAACTTTCCTCTCCATTTCTGTTACAATTCAAGTTACAATTTCTGTTATAATCAAATCTGTATCTCTTGAAATACGCGAGCCTTCATGCTGACGTAAAACGCAATACAATAAATAAAGATGAAATATATAATTCGTACATTACATATTTCAGAGATCTACGACAGAGGGATGGCGCTTTGTGCTTTGGTATTAACGATGATTTCACAAAATAAGATAAAATAAAACCGAACAAAATAAAAAAGTAACGGATAAATTAAAAAAAAATAAATAAAAATAAATAAATGAACTAATTCTACGAAAATTTTATGAGTAACTAAATGAGTACAAAATAAATGGATTTGAGTGCCCAAAATGCAGAACTGTGACGATCGATTTTTACGATGTACCAAATAGTTTTTCGCTCTAAACTAATACTCACGATCGATCGATACTCGTTAGTGACTTAAGTCTAATCTAAGTTAAAATTGTACGATTAGAACAAGGGATAGTACCTTTGCTGATGGTCCCACGACGTCCCGCGACGTCCGTGTGTTTCCAGTTGACTCAAACGACTGGTGTCCCATGTTGTTCCGCTGTGATTTGGTGCTCGCGATTTTCCATGTGTGTCCGAGAGTGTTGTCTTCCGAAGGGTAGGGTCCTCCGATGAATTTCCACGAAACATAATTAAGCTCCGTTGCTCGCTTTCTTGATTTCTCGAGCTCTTCTTGCTTGACAGGAACAGAAAAAATAAAAATTCGTTGTCGATTAGATAAGATCCTGACTGTTTAGTTTAATCGAGGAATTCTTGCACTGCAGTCGGAAAAGTCCGCAACTGCGATTTTTGTCCTGAGATTTGCATCGAGTGGATATTTCGATGTGAGATTCCATTTTTCATCCAGATTTCGAATCTTCGTGCGATTCGTGCCGGAATTTGTATCCGAGTGTATAGAGTTGTTTTATCAGAGATTTTATCGAGAGTTTGCTCCGAGTATGATTCGCGCCATTCTTGTTTTCTGGCGGTGTTTTTTTGCGGTCGTTTCGTGCTCGTTGGACGTAATTTAGGGTGAGATTTAGGATGAGTTACGCCGCTACAGAGCCGCGTGCAAAAGTTACTCTTTTGTTGTCGCTTTTGGCGTAGCGAAAATTTATTCGCAGGGGGTTTGCTGATAATTTCGGGCTGGTTTCCCAGAGAGTATCCTTGGATTGGACCAAAAAGGACTCCGCGTGTACTGTTTTGCGTAGCGCGTCATTCGCAAACGAACGTCAGTAAAATTAGCTCGATAATCCTGATAATAGTCCGATTGAAAATTTGGTGATTCGATATAAAATTGATTCGATTAATGATTTCGATTGATTTCGTTTTTTTCCGGGCATGACATCTGCATCGAGAGTGTCAATCTTTCCGCCCACTTCCCTGTGGTGATTTTGCTTGTGCGAAATTTGCGCGGGGTTCGCTTTTGAGATCGTCTGTTTTTGAGCGCTGGCTGTTTTGCTCTCTTCTAATCATTAATCGATCGAGAAATTGTAGGTCGGGAGGTGTTTGACGATGCGCTTAAACTCGTCGATCCGAAATAACTTGCGAATTTCGATCGAGAGCCACGATTTACATTCTTCTCTCCAGAGGTAGAACCCTGAAGGATTGTTCTTCTTTTTCCCAGATCCGTGCAGCACTGTGTTCCGGCTGCACAAATTTACGTCGTGATTTCCGATTTTTGCGATTTGGCGCTTTTGATCTGCTCTGAAGCCTTTGGTTTCTCGCGTGCCGTCGATTGACACGCGTCGATTGTTCGTCCGATCGTCTCTTCTTTGTTCGAACCGTGAAAAATGATCAAAATAGTCTTGCAGAACTGTAAAGTCGCTGGGTACGAAGCTTTCAAATAATCATCGATAAATCGTACAATCGTGAACTTGGAGTCACGTTGTATCTCATATTTGGTGACGGCGCAGCGCGTAAAGAATGTAGGGAAGTGCAACGAGAAGTGGTTTTTTTTTCCTTTTTCCTCGCGGTGTGAGCCCGCGGTAAAGTGTCTCCTGTAAATCGTATAACGAAATAAAAGGTCCGCGCGTCCTGCTGCGGCGGCCGGTACGGTATAAAGAATGCTCTGCGAAATTATAATTATCCTGAGGTGTGCGAGACGTGCGCTTGTGGCGGCGTATAAGACCGAAGGGGATGCCTGGTTGAGGTCGGAGGAACGATTCCGTCCATGCCGTGAGCCTTTTTCGCTGGGGGAGAGACGTTTTGTCCTTTCCAATCCAATTTTTTTCGTTGCGAGGCAGAGTGTGCCGCGATTTCTTCTTATTTTTTTTCTTCTCGCGCTGCGAAACAACGCGGAAGTTTATGCTAAAGTATACGTGCGCGTGCGCGTTTAGAGGCGTGTTTTTTTTTGTGCTTTTTCCCTTCCGAGGTAACCGCGTGTTCCCAAAGTGGCGTCGCGTGACTGCACGCGCTGTGACTGACGTTTTTTTTTTTTCGCGTAATTTTCCAATGATTTTCGGAGAATTTTCGTCGATAGTGTTACTATCATTAGTATTAGTATCGTTGGCTGCGAGGGTGAAAAGTGACGTCGGCGTTTTGTTTCTTTTCTTTTCTTTTTGAAGTAATAATAATAGTGATAGTAAATGTGTGACGTTTCCAGGTGTGTGCTGGCTGTTTTTGACGATGCTCCAGGTGTGTTGCGTTGAAAGTGTTTTCGTTGCTTTCAGCTCTGCCGGTCCGGCGAGAACGGCAGGTGCGGCCTCCGCCGCGATCAGGAGGATTCCTGAGTGTCCGAAAATTGTTTTCGCGCTGGAGATCGTGCCGGAATCGAGCCGTCTGGACGAGTAGATGTTCTAGCCGAGAACGGACGGTGGTTGGTCCAACGAAAAACAAATTGCCTGCTTTCGGTCTTGAGGTCGGAAGTGGTTTCGTTCGGTACTGGAGAAGTTCGCGGAGCTTTGTGCACGCCATCGAGGATGTCTCGTTCGAAGGCGCGGTTTTCGACAGTGTGCAAGACAAAATCATTAATATCCTCAGGCTCGCCGGGTAGACACGGGTGAAAGCCTGTTTCCCTTTTTCCCCCCCTCTTGTTTGCGAAATTGCGGTAACTTCAACAAATGATGCGCGATAATTGCGATAAAATCCAACAAATCCCGTAGATGCAATGAATATAATTAGACAGCCTGGTGGATTGAAGTAGAATCGTTGTCGCGATCGTCGCTCTTGAATCCCGATGATCTGCCACGATCATCTGGGGCGCGAGATCGCGCCGGATACATTATCCTTATCCGTTTCGGCTCCTCGCCGGATAGCTGGCCGCCGCCTGACGCCGCCGGTTTCCAGCCGCACCCGCTGATTTTGATCCTCCCGCGCCGTCCCGTCGGCTGATTGATGCCGTGATTGATGCCCTGATTGCCCTTGATTGCTGCTGGCGCTGCTGCTGCCTCGTTTTCCCGGGCCGTCCGAGTGGTGAAACCTGGAAGGGTGTGAGCGTTAGCTACGAAACAAAATTTAAAAAAAAAACACACAAGGGCCGGTTGTTCACGTTTTTCCGTGCGCGTTGAAACTCTAATCTAATCGATTTCTACCAAATGCTCTTATTCAATGAACGCTAAACAATGTGATCCCTTTGAGATTTCGAATAGTACTAGTGGTTCGAGAAGTGTGCGTGTGCGGTCGTCGTCAAGCGTCGTTTTTTTTTTTTTTTAAAGACACCGAAAGCCCCTTCTCCACTGTTTGTGCTGTTTTTGATTTGGCAAAATTCGCGAACGCCTTGTACGTCTCTTGGCCTACCGACGAGTTTCCATGGGTGAAGAATTTCGATCAATTTCGAACTGTACAGGCGTATTCTTCATGAAGTTGCAGTGGTGGTGGATGATGAGATGATATTTTTTTAGATTAACTTCCTTTTTGTTTCACGTAGGCATAATTTGCATTTTGTTCGGAAAGTACTTCGCGACGCTTAACTTTAACGGTGAATTTATACTGTATTCCGGAAAATTTTGCTGTGTTATGTAGAAAATTTGGTCTATTTTTTTCTTTGAAATTTTGAATTAGATTGAGAATCAACATGTCACGGATTGGCAAATATCGTTCTTGATAATTTTACTTTCAGTTTTTCATAATGTAATGTTTCACTTAATCTTGATTTCTTCGTGAACAGTGGGTGATAAATTAGTATTTGTATATACATTGATTTTTAATGTGCTAAATTTTATTCTTATTTTTGATTGTCACTGACAGCCGTAATAATGGTCCAAATATCAAGAGAAAAAAGCTATTTTTCTAGTACATTTTACATACGTTTGGCTCTATAAATAGTTTTTAAAACTTTGAATTCTGCATCGAAATGACGGACAACTTTTCCGGATTTTGTACTGATCGAATGAATTTCTGCTCATGCTTTTGCGTTTACCAAACAGGCCTTCTGAAAGTCTGTCTGCCGTAAATTCGTGTATACTCGATTTCTTAGAGCAATTCGGTCAATCATCCGATAGATATACGATCACCCCGAAGAACGATATTGTACAAGCACTTTTATCTTGTGAACGTAGTTTGGCGTTTATTATACTTCGATTTTTACAAACATAAATGTAGCGTTTTCAAATGAATCTTATTTTTATCTCGGCCAGCGTGAAAGATCTCTTTTGATTGTCGTTTTATTTGCGAAACTTTATTCTGACCTCTTTTCTAAAAGGACTCGTATCGCGTAGATAGCCAAGAAACATGCAGATTTTTAAGGGTCACAACATATCCGCGCGGTGTTATCGACGAGTCCGAAAAATATTCTCGATAATTAAACGATGGATTCGTTGACAAAGCGTGTCCGTTTCCTATTAGCTACACTCTTTTTACTCTTCCTACGTTGGAGTTGAGCGATTATCTGGATTTTGACTCGACGTCTCGCTGCGAAGATTTGGAAACTCCTCGGGGGAATATCTTGCAGTAGCGCGATTACGTTGAAATGAATCGATAGATCGCGTCGACGAACCGAGATTCAAGTGATTTTGAAGAATAAAAATTCTACAAGTGTGTCAGATTCACGTTTCTTCCATCTTCCTTTTTTTCCCCCGGAAAGAGTAATTGTTTAAGAGAGCACAAGCTGTTTTAATTCTCATGATTGTAACGTGAATTTCGCAAGAAATTTTTCGGACGCTCGTACGGTGCGGCTCCCGTGTTGAAAAAGAAAATCTCAAAGTTTTTTTTCGTATTCGCGGCACACTTTTATACCGCTTATACCACGATCACACACGAAACGTATGCATGATTAATGCGCGCTACTTTTGCGAGCAGCTGGTAGCAGCCTGCGGTCTCGAATATATGGAGCGCGTATGATTTCGCATATAGTGATCGGCGTCGACAATATGTCAATTATACTCGCGCTTCGGCGGGGACGACGGACGGACGGGAGGGAGGGCGGAGGGATCGAGAGGACACGAGCGTGGAAAGTGTAGCTGAGAGGAGCCAGAAGCAGAAGCGAGAGACTGCTCAAAAAGAACCTTCGACTCGGTTTCCCTGTGTGTACAACCGGAACAACCGGCCCCCGGAAAGGCCGGAGAGCACAAAAAGAGGGCGAAGCGTGAATCGTGGAAGAGAAGCGTGGCCGCAAAGAGAAGGAAGACAAAGAAGTCGTGCTGGCTGTATATATATATGTATGTACTGCTGGATGCAAGATGCTGGACCGTGGGACTTGCGAGGCATTATGAGTTAGTTAGCCCCTTTTTACAGGTTTCTCTCTCTTCCCTGGGAACGCGCGTAAATCACGAAACGCGAGGGGCGGCGGCGCGAGGGGGGGGGGAGGGGTTTGAACGGGAGCGAGGTGACGAAAATACCTTTGTATTACACGGATGCAGAAGGGCCGGGTTATATACGCGGTGCGTATATGAGGGAACTCTCTTTAAAGCGAAACTTTTTTTTTCTTCTTTTTGTGGCTCGTTAGATTCTCGAAGGCCGCGCGACAATGCTAAAGCCGTGGCTCTTTGTTACGCGAGAGTCCGGCCTGCTTCGCGTTTTGATGGTCCGGAATCTTTTCTTCCGCTAACGATCGCGTGGTGTTTTTTTTTCTTTTCTTTTTTCCTTTTGGCGTTCTCGTTTGCGCGCGTTTTGGCGTTCGTTCAGATCGTTAGAGTGGTCTCTTGACGTGGTTTCGACGACTGATCTTTGTCGAACTTTGTTTAACGCAGGAAATTAACTTGAGCATCGAATTATAGCTCGGTATGTATATACGTTACGTGACTGCGACGGTCGATTTCACGGATTTTCGGGCTCGCGTGAAACTGATGATGAAGCGATAATCGAGTATTCCATTCGTGGAACATTTCGCCTAAAAATCATGTCTCCTTGATCGATCGCGATTTCTACAATTCTGTGACACGTCTTTCTCGTAATTTGCTGTCGAGATTTTGCAATTTTGCAGTTGAAGAAAACCGGTAGTGGTCGACAATTCGTCTCGCGAGATTATTTCCTCGATACTGATTGCGATACATCAACTAAATTGTCAATTTTCGCGTATATCTTCTTTCGGAAAACGAAACGGATTCGCCCGGTCGTTTTATGATTTTTGGTCAAGCATATCACGGAAATCCAAAGATATTTTGTACTCGTCTGAAGCAATCAGAATTATTTTTGAACCCTTAATAAGCCGTGATATTAGATTCGAGAATTCTGATTTTGATATTAGTGAAACCATCTTTGAAAAAAACGGAGGGAATCCTTTCTTTTTGTAGCATATCATTTAAAGCAACATTTAATCATTTCTATTTATTTCTGTTGTAGTTATTGCTATAATTTCTTGATGTTTTGAAAAATGTTTTCTTACAAACGTGATTTTAAATTTAAACTTCACTCGAAAATGTTCAGTCTCTGTACTTTTTTGTTCTTTCTTGAAGTCCTTCATATTCTTCAAATAAATCGAGTCAATTCTGAAGTATTGCCGTATTCGAAAATTCGAATTTTCTTTTTAAAACAGTTACAAAGATAAATTTTTTCTGTTTTCTCATTGAAACAATGGGAATTATTTTTGAAATGGCAATAGTATTGGTAACCAATTTTTAAAAGGCCAGAAGAATCGTTTATGGACCAAAATGTAATTACCATTATTTCACTTATTGTTCTATTGTAAGTATTCACGTATTTCAAATATGTCATTTTATTAAGCGCGATCGTAATTTTATTCACCGGAGTATGTCATTAACATTAACTAATACAGTACGATGAGAAATTGGCGGGATGTAGCGTGTACCAAAAAAAAATAAATGCTATACTGGTTCGACTGTTAAATAAATTAGAACTATTCAAATAGATAAAGATGCCTTAATTCTATTTGAAGAAACCAATTTTACATACGCGTTTCCCCGTAATGTAACCGATTTCAGAAAAGTATCGTAACACGAAAATTCGAGAGGAGATAACACATTTATATTACTTTCACGTATATGACAGTCGGGAGTCTTGCTAAAATGCGGTGAATTTTCAAGCTCGAAACAGAGTAAGTTTTTTTTATCATTGCGTACGGACGAATCTGTACTTTTGTCATACATTCTCATCGGTTGTAAGCAAATCCAGTTAGATGTCAGGATCGAATAGATTGTGGGAATTGATGCTATATGTCGCAATTTATGTGTGTGCCCGACGTTTTCAGTAATGATACCCTCTTTTGGACATGGAAACCCATTAAAAAAATCAATTCTTGCGTATTCCAATGTATTCGGTGACCGAATCAATGCAGTGCTTATACGGGTTACGTGTGTGCCGATACGATCGACATGCTCTTTGCTCTTCCGGCGTAAGTACGGGGGAACAGAAAACCGATCCCCCTCGCATTGATTGAATATGCGAACAGGTGATGAAACAATTTTGCCCGAACGGCATAATTTCCTCTGCAGCGATATCTTGATAGCGTTAAATGTTTTCATTTATTTCAGTTGTTCAGATAATTTTCCGTATTGCCAATATTATTACATTAGTTGTTTTGCAATTTTGCTACGAAGCTTATATAACTTTAATGTAAAGACTATATAATTATTGATTTTTGTTGTAAAATTTCTCTGAAATATTTTCTCTTTTATTGGATTGATTTCTCATTCGACTGATTTTCTTGGCTATTTTATCTGAAGTAAGAATAGTTTTCTAGAACATCAAAAATATAATTTTGTTTTGATTTTCTCAATACTGCTGCTGAAAAAGGATATTTCTCTTATTTAGTATTTTCTGAAGTTGTTTCCTTTATGCCATGTTTGAGCAAGTGATTCACCAAGAACTTTATATTAAACATATTACACGTATTATGGCAAGTATTACATTTCATCTTATGATCTGATATGCTCAATTCGAAATGTTGCGATCTGTTTTGAAATTTGAATACAATATATTATTTTTGCTGAATTGACAATCTATTGTTTCGGAATAATATGATGTAGGAAATTATATTTTGATCCAGAAAATTATATCTTTACAGCTTGATATTGAACTGCCAAATAACAGATTAATCTAACAGTTGATATTTAATTTACATGGATTTAATTAAGTAATAATTATTTGCCAAAAAAAACTTATATTTGTTATGTACGTTATTAACGAGCTAAATGTTAAAAATTCGGCTTTCATAATTTTATTACAAAAATTTTTCGGTCAGTCTTACTGCTTGTAATAAGAAATTGTGTGGATATCAGTTTCTTTATTATTTTTTTCTTTTAGAAAATGGAAAATTGTTAATTATTAAAGGTCTGGTCGAAATACTCGCCAAATGCAATCAATAAAATAAACCGTAAAATTTTTGCAGCATGTCAGAAATGAAACATTAGCTCTGGTAAATTTTGCTGATATCATACGCTTACGTCATATATTGGAAACCTGAGTAAACAAATTTTTTTAAATGCCTGTTATATAATTCGATATTTTCTCAGATGCATTTATTTTATGGATTTAGTAAAGATTTAGATCTACTTGCTTTTTTCTGTACAAATAAAATATCAGTTCGAACATTGTACTTTCTTTTAGATTACGATAATGAATTTTCTGCTTTACTTACTATTATAAAAAAAAACCTTATTATAAATACTTTCTTCGGTTTTCTATCTTGTTTTTAACTGTATTTTAATATAGTTCACTTGCAATTATCGACAATCATTTCCAGGATATTATTAATACAAATCGAGTTCTATTTTGTTTAAGTTTTGCATAATATCAAGAATGACAATCCCTATTTCATGCGAAAAGTCTATATATGTTTATTATATTGAAATATGTAGCGTTCAAAATTCAACTAATTATTTTGCTAATTATTCTTCCAGATGCAGCCATAAATTTGAAGGTTCTAATGATGTTACTATTTTTCTTGGTCCACTGTTTTACCGTTTATTTGTCCAGATAATATGATTTTGTGATCCGTGAAAAAGATCTTGTTTTTGTATCCATTAATTCAAACATCTTTTTGAATTTATTTTCTTTTACGAAGCATGTATCTTGAAAAGTGTTTGTTTTAAAATTGGGATTGTGAAACGTGCGCTAATCAAATTCGTTTTAACATACAATAATATCGATTATCTGAATGTTGCCTAAGATTGATTATGCAAAATGAGCATGCCGTTGATAACAGCAGAGAAGATTATGTAATCATGTAGTAAACCAATCAAACAAATATATTATTATCGTCATCACTATTATCGGTGAAGCTTGAAACAAATTTCTGTTGAGTCACTGTTAATCAAAAATGCATAATCGATTAATTAATCTTTAGAATACTATAATTTTCGTACTTCAAACTATTTTATCGGAAATTGACATATCATTGTTCCAAATCGTTCACATACATAAATTGTTATTTTATCGTATATTTATACATTCTCGTCTGCATGCTTTCTGTTTCGTTAAAATATCACTGCATTGATTCACTACAAATTTCTTAGCAATAACAAATTTAAACAACTTTCAATGGCAATTCTTGGCAACCGAAATTCACATTAATCGTAAAGCTGTTGTGAGTGTAATGTTCTCATAGCAAACGATTGCTTTCGAATTTGTGCGACAAATGTTCTCAGCTTGAGATTGAACGGCAATTTTAACGGGACGATGAGTTGATACAATGTGGGAAAGAATTTTTTACGTGGATTGCTTCGGAATGTTCGATTGTGTCGATGTCGATGTCATTTTCGATTATGTCGCGTTCGGAACTAAGTGTAAAGGAGAAATTTTCACCTGCTTGAATCTGCACATTTTTTTTAATTGAAACTTAATCCCGCGCTATATTATATTACGATGTTAAATCACAAAAATTTCGATAAACGACACCTTTTCGCGTGAAGGCTTTCACGGTTATCTCCGTGTCACTTTACGATGAGGTGTACCGGTGTAACTTTTGACGGGACATGACGTTAGTTATGTTCAACGGGATGCAAAGGTGTCTACGCATGCAGATTTATTGCGGGGGTTTATTAAGCAGCGTGAAATGAAAGATTATAGATCAGAAGATTCTAGCGAGTCGGTACAGAAACAGCAGCTTGAAACCTTGAGAGTTTTAATTTACGCGCACACACACATGATGTGTCAGTTTAATCGCATGCATTCCAAGTCGGTTTACACAAAAAATAAATTAACACTGATGGATCTGTACATCTAATTGTTGATCTACGATCTGACTGTTTGAAAGATCGCACGCTCTTACGGGCGCTCTATATGAACGCGCGTAAACGCGCGCGATTAACAGCAACTGAAAAAAAAACGTTCTGAAAATCTACAGGTGCAGGTGAGAAGCATGTGAGCGTGATATCACTACTCGCAGAATCTCGAAACGAAGATCATCCAAATGATTTTTCAGTATCATTCCAGCGAGTGGCAAATCATACTTGAACGATACTTCGGAAAATTTGGATCAATCTGCCGCGTTATATCGACTTAGTTAATCCATGAAGATTTCACGAAACGTTTTCTCGCGAAAAAGTCATTCCGCGCTGTGTATATCGGCTGTGTATATATATAACGTAATCGGTAAAGGTCTCAACGGACGCGCGTGCGTGAGTAGTGATAACGCCGTTAACAGGAGAAGCGGTTTGAGGAGAGCGACCTACTTTTTTTTTTCCTTTTTTTTTCGACGAGTACAAATTTCGAAGGATCCACTATTACACACAAGGAGAGCAATTTGATCAGACGTGAGAGAGGATGGAATAAAAAAGCAGACAGAACTTTCGAACACAACGGCGAAAAAAGAGGAGTGGATAAGAGACGAGCAAATTTCAAGTCACATTTTGGGGGGGAGGGATATTAGTGCCTGGATAGAGTAGGTCCGAATGATCAATGCGCGCGTAACTTCGGAATTTCGATCGTAGATTCACGCTATTCTGTCTCGCGAAAAAAAAAATCTCATTACCTCAAGACACCTCCGTCGCGATTAAAATTCACGTTATGTCTCTCGGCACGTTATGTCTCGTGGCGGTTTAATTCTCTCTCGTTTTTAGCAATTTGACCGTTTTTTCTACCTGCCCGAAAATTTTCACCGGTATAGAGTACTATCTGACAAAATCAGAACACCATGGAAAAGGAAGAGAGAACTGCAACATCTCTGACATCGCGCGAACATGCGATAATTAGTCGCGCGATTAAAATTAAACAAACGTGCGTCATGCTTTTTCGGAATTCAATTCGAATCTCTCGTTATGTAAATTTTTGGAAGCGAGCAAATCCAATCGCTTCTGGTGTTCTCATTTCACGATGAATACTGTATAATTAATCGGCTGTCTCATTCGCGAAAAATTAAGCGAATCGAGAAATTCGAACTTTTAGAATTTCAACTTTGAAGACATCGATATACGTTCGTCTGTTTCAAAAATACGTGGCGTGGCAAAATTACAAATTAAATTTTCCATAATGATTGCCTGTAAACGTACTTTTTTTTTCCGAGCGAATGTTATTATAGACGCGTTAATAGAACGCGAACGTATTTAGTTTTCTTTTTGGAGGGCAAAGTACGACTCGCCCAATTTTCCGCGCGTGACAGTCGATCGCTATTTGGGAAGAAGTGCAAATTTCCGGCTTCACGAGGCAGAACGTCGAAGATCCGCGGGGCCGAAAACCAGATTTTAGACGACTTTTAGCGTAGTCTATCGAAGCACCAAGATCACGTGCTAGCCAGGACAAAAACCCGAAACTATACTCACCATCGTGGGTGGGTAGCTCCGATTGGATCTGCGACAGAAAAAATGGCGATCGCTGGTTAGAGATGACTACAGCTTGACTTCCTTCTCCGCTCCTCTCCTCTCGTCTTCGACCCCTACGGGATCTCCCTCGACCGTGACCGGGGTGGTCGAGCGGTCGAAGAAGCCGGGACCTCCTCTCCGCACCGTTGACCGTGATGCTCTGAGGTCACTGCAGGCCGAGCGGGCCCTTATATACTTCGCCTAGGCCCTTCCTTCGTTTGCACGCGGTGGTTGATGGGGGCCCTTCAGGGGAGGCTCCTGGGAAAACGGTTTCGGCGCAACGCTCCTTTTCAGATCCGTCCCGCTCCCCCTCGCTGCTTCATCTTTCCCCCCCGTCGTCGTCGAAGGGGAAAAGAGATCACGAGACGAGACGCGAAGAAGATCCTTGCTCCCGAACACGTTTGCTCCTTACCTGTTTCTGCAACGTAACGTGCGCGACGTGGTCGGTTTCCTCTCCCGAGGTTTCTCCACCGAGGGGTGCTGCTCGCCCCCCTGAAAATCCCGAAGGAGGGCGAACGGGCCCAGGTGCCGGCGGAAAGATATACCGAGAACTTTCGGGAACTTTTCTGCCAAATAGGATCTCGCTTTGCGAGATGGTAAATTCGAAATACAGCGCGTACGAAGAATATCTCCAGGTGTCCACAAGTTGTTTAGAAGTGCGATTTATCTGGTTCGTTTGTCTTGTTAGAATTAAAAGACAAGAACAACGAGAAGAGAAATAAAATTTCCTAGCGAAATGACATCAGAATCTCTGGTCTTTAAATCACCTTTAATTTTTATATGTATTTATATCAAAAATTAAAGGAATCATATTCTGAGTAATACGAAAGAAATATATTTGTTGCAATTAACTAACCAGATATCAAATATATAAATACATATAAAAATTGAAGGCGATTTACATAAAATACATATAAAATTAAAGATGATTTAAAGGCCAGAGATTGTGATGTCATTCCACCAGGAAATTCTATTTCTTTTCTCACTCTTGTTGCCTTTTAACAAGACAAGCGAACCAAATAAATCTCACTTCTGAACAACTTCTGGACTACTTCTATAAAATACATATAAAATTAAAGCTGATTTAAAGGCCAGATATTTCGATATCATTCCGCTAGAAAATTCTATTTACGCTCTTTCCGCTCTTCTTGTCTTTTAATTCTAACAAGACAAGGGAATCAAATACCATAGTATTAAATTTATATTTATATCTATTCACAGCATTGATCGAGCTATTTTAAATTACTGATTTAAATCGCCCCCATCACGCAGGCCTTTTCACATCTTCTTTTCCACCAGCTTGATTTGCCAGATTTTAAATAATTACCGATATCACAAACATAAAGCGAAACGTAAATGCCATTTTTTATTTAAAACGACGCAACTTTGATGCGACTGTTATTCTTCAACCGTTACGCGCATCCCCTTTGCACGATGACGCAGGAGTTACCGGTTTAACGTTCGTGTGTCACGGCAGCTAAATCGATTTCCTCTTTTACATATCTCAACGATTTCTTTAACCCTTTAATAATAGCCGCGGATCCAGTTATGTGAGTCTCATCCGTTGACCGTTTCTCGCAGAGACCGTTCCTTTATCTCTCCCCTTCTTGAACTTTTCACCAACGGTACGTTGGCACGTATGACTCGTACAATGTACACAAAAAGAGAGAAAAATCTCTTTGAGACAACTTGTGTGAGATAATATTTTATTAAACTTTCCCACAAATGTTATTAAAGCCTTCTGATCAGACAGTTGCGTCAGTAAAATGGCCAGTAAAAAAGTAGTGTTGCCGAATAATTTGATAAATAAATCTTTTATACCGTTTATTATATATAAATCTATTTAGTTCATATTTAATCAATTATTTCGTCTTTTCTTTCCTCACTTATTGCATATCTAACTTATCTTTTCTTCCCGTTAAATTAATCTTCGTTTTTATTCCATAATTCTTCAACGTGTTATTCCATCGTGCTCTAGAATTTATATTTTTCTTTGACATCTATAAGTATGTATAATATAAATTAAAGTAAATTATATAAATAATGAAATAAATATACATATATAATTTAAATTATTATTATATAAATAATTTAATTAATATGCATATTTATTTTCTTGTGCGTCCATCACTGTGTGCAAATAATTATACAGACGTTACAGAAATACAAATCCCGCTGTCTTGGGAAAGTTTTAGCAAGCTGTGCATTGATGCATCTGAAGCGATCCACCCTGTCGATCAGGGTGCTGATTTTTGAGAACATCGACACGCGCTACCCGCAGCACACGATATGCCCCCGATGGGAATTGATTCGTCGACTATTCACGCAAGATCGACGTGAATCATTCGGCAAAAACAGTTAAATGAATTCTCGTCGACGCGCCGCGTTAACTATGCGGGTACCAACTAGCCGCTGGGGGAGATTACCGGGGTAGATAATTAGTTAATGACTCCCGCTACTCTGATCTTTTTCAGCATGCTCGCCACGGTACGGCGATCAATTTGTTTTATTGTTGTATTCCAGAGTTCCTTCATGACAAAACTTTGTCTATCAAGCGAACAGTTTTATATATTATGTATTTAAAATAAATTAATAGAGACGGGATCTTTTATAAAGATAAATAAATCCTGAAATAACAATGTAGATAGAAATGCTTTTGAAATGAAAAAAATAATCATTCTGTCACAAAGTAACTTCCATTTACGATATTAATTTATAATCGAGGACCTTTAAAAGGAAAATATTGGAAATATAACGGAGATAGTGCAGGTGAAAATTTAGATGTGGAGATTAAAAATTTTGCAATCTTTAAAAATACTAATCTTCCTTTTTTCCAGTTTACGCATTACTTCTGCCTTGTGTTTATATTTTTTCTGTGTTTCTTGGTCCGATCTACAATTTAAAGAGCTGTAGAGCAAAGAGATTCGCACGCAGTATTTAAAGAGTACGTATTGCACGCATGAACGAAAACCCTAAAATCCTTGTCATCGTTTTTAATTTAATGTGAAAATACATTTGTGACGGAAGCTGTTTAAGTTTAAAGGGACTTTTAAAAATTTCTTTTCGACATTATACAATTTTTGCGAGTTCACCGACCTTTAATTCTTTAAATTACCACGTTCTTTCTTCCTTTTTCTTTGAGCAATAACTTAATTTTAAATACTTGTCACGATCCACGGATTACCGTATTGCCGCGATTACTCGTTATTTCCGATAAGGCAGATGGCCGGAAATGTAGTCCAGTTTCCCGATGCGGCACGGGTAGTTATTTATGCAACACTCAGTGCGCGACCCGAGGGGCGGCCGCCGAATCTGAGGTGGGAAACAGTGCTTCGGCATTTTTGCATCCCCCTTGCATTCTCACGCGAGCGCCGATACGAATGAAAGGCTACCTGTGCGAGAGTATCATTTTTCAGACAGGTACGCACGTGTATACGACTCGTTTATTTTCATCGATTTGATCGTGACCATGTTGTTAGTAATGAACAAGGTACGTTATGTAACGACTTTGACAATTATTGCCTTCCCTTGTTAAAGTAAATTTACACGTATTTGCTGCGCAGATATATGTTTAGTAACGCGTCGCGATTATATTTAAGGAATAAAAAATTCCAAATAAAATGCATGGCAACAAGCAATTATTGCAATTAATAATAAAAGGATGTATTATTATGAATTATTAATTTATAATGCACTTGTAAGTTGTATTCTAATGCTGTTGATTAAAAACCTCTTACAATTAAATACGGAACTATAAACGTCCATCGTTTGACTTTGTTTACCAAATTATAATTTTAATATAATTTTAATTAAATAAAAATATGTACATCCTCAAGCAATGTAATCTCTCTTTCCGTCGCACATTTCTACATAAAAATATCTCTTTATAAACTATAAATTATTAATTTGATAAATTATCTCTTTCTAAATTCTGATAATCTTTTATAAATTTGCAAATGTTTATTTTGTTCGAATTGATTAGCAAAGATTAATGCCGCTTCTCTCGGTTCCTCTGTGACAACGCGGAGAGATGAAAAATTCGCGAGTTTTTTTGAGAATTCATAGCTTATTTCGCCTGTCGTGCAGTGAATTCGAAGGGAGAGCACGTTATTCCTTGAACCCTTCGACCTCCCGACCCCCTCCGGCCTTCCTGACCCTGATCCAGACTACGGGTGCTATTGCACAGTCGCTTGGTTTCGTACATTTCTATACTCACATCTGCCTTATGTTCTCACGCTATTTTCCTTCCAGCTTAGAGTAGCTCCGCCGAGTAACGGCGATGAGCTTTGTTATCGAGATACAAGGGGTTAAGCCGATGTCCAGAAAATAAAAGAATTTATTTATTCCTCTCTTTTATCGTATCAAAAAAACCTTCAGTTTTAAATATATTTTCTCAATTAGTCGGATATATTGATATTTCCAATATTAAATTTTAAAGAATTATGGAATTATTTTGAAAACATGTTCAAATGTATATACTCTATACGTTTAATTATATAAAATTTTTTAATTTTTTTGGCGTTCAAATCTGTTTTCCGTACATTTATTTTATGTACAGACTAGTAGCTTTTTCATTCTATTTCGACAGGTTCCAGAAATCGGTCAATTATAATTAAAGGCGAGGAAGATTCGGTGTCAATTTATTTTTATATATGCACATCAATGGAAAATTTTATCTTTCGGAAGTAATAAATAAGAAAATATTATAAATAAGGTATATAATAAAAAAAATCTGAAAGCGATAGCAGGAAAGATATTATTTTCCAAATCAATATGATAAAAATCAGTAATTGTACCTACAAAAAATTGCAAGTGATAAAGACCCGCAAGTTTTTTTTCCTTTAGATTTTATTTCGATTTGTGTTCTATATTCATGTTGGGGCTATTAAATAAATATAGATGAATAAAATGTTAAATCGTAGATAAATAATTATCTACGATTACGGTAAAAATCGACCGACACGAAGGAAATTCTTTCACATATTCATTTTTGTGATAGTACGATAATAAGAAATGTACAAAATTTTTGCATGAATCAATAAAAAAATTGCTGTTTTCATTAATTATTAGGAAGACTATTTTTGCTATAAATTAAAAATATTTGTATTAAAATATAATAAATAAATAAAAATAAATATATGAAAAACTACGTTCTAAAAAATATATTTTATTTGATCAACGTATAATTTCACGATTTTCACTTATGAAAGCTTTAGTTAATGTGGCTAATGGATTAAAAATTTTAAAATTCATCTTTAAAAAAATATTTGAAACTGGGAAAGAACTTTTCTGGATAAATTTTCATAGATAGCAAATAATTAGTTCAAACAAGGAACAAGGAAATGAGAGATGATGCGAAAAAATTAATATGAGTATAACAAATACCTTGGTTCAAATGTTTTCATATTTAATAAATCATACATAAGACTCAGGAAACTCGAATGTTACGTCTCGTCCAGTCAGCTGTTTGTACACTGAGGCGAAAGTATCGACCTGTCGAAAGATGAATTAAAATTATTACAACGCTAGAAAGATAAATAGAATTCTATGCAGACAAAATAGGAAACTCAATAAATATACCTTGTGCTCAATATTCGTTTGTTCATTTTTGTCCAAATGAACTTTGATAACTTGCGAGCCGTCAAGCTTCACACGAATTCGTTTGCCTACAATCTCTACGGGGTAGACAATATCCTCCAGCAAAGCGTCGTACACCGAAGTCAACGTACGACTATAACAAACAACAGAATATGCAAGATGCAGTCAGAATTCAAGATATTATATATGATAATGCCATATTGAAATTGAAAATGGATATTAAAATAACTCGGTATTTATAGATAAACAAAATAGTAATAACGCAATAATTATTGACGTAATTAAATTACACCTGTTCATGTCAGATGCAAATGTATTATGACATTGAATATTATGAGTATTGTGACATTTTAGTTTCCTTACCTTCTAGGACGCTTCTGCTTGTTCTTCGTACGCGTCTTTCTCGTCGGCTTCGGCAAGATTTTCCGTTCGCCGACGAACATTACGTGCTTGCCGGAGAACTTCTTCTCCAACTCGCGTACCAACCTCGTCTGGACCTTTTGGAAAGCCTTGAGTTTCGGCATCGGTACGTATATGATGATCGACTGCGGAGAACACAATTGCAGCTCAGCACAGCACGTCGCTGTCAGGGTTTTAAGCGAGAGGAGCTAGCGAGGAATCAAGGTTTATACCTTCTTATTGTTTGTCTCCAGCTCCTTCGCCTTGGTGATGGTGAGTTCCCTTAAATGCGACTTCAGGTCGCTGTTCATCTCCAGTTCCAGGAGAGCGTTGGAGATGCTCGTCTCGAACGGGTCGGGCTCCGCGCCGCCGCTTTTAATTATTTTTGCGTTAGCGGTGAACATCTGAAAGAAAAAACGATTGTGAGGTTAGGACATTGTTTACGAGTGCCGTTCGCACGTCCGCGCGAGATGCCCGTCGGGACGGCGTCGCGTAACGGCGCCGTACTCCAGCGCGGACTCCGGAATCCGTCCTCCGACGCGGGAAAACGATAATCGTCGGTGGCGCGGAAGCGTGGGACGATCCGCACGATGCCGACGAACGCGAGGGTTCGGCGGAGAGCGCGGCGGCCGGCGAAATCCGTCGTAATCGCGCCGCGGGCGCGCGATCGGGGAAACGCATCGATCGTCTCGCGTATCGCGAACTCCGCGGCATCGCGGGGCAGAATCTCATGCGTCGTTGTACATTAAAAAAGGCCGCGAAGCCAATACGCTTGAGAAATGCCCACCTTGTCCACCTGGCCTACCACGTGAAAGAGAGGTTAGGAGAGGACCCGTGATAGCGGGACAACTAGTACGGCGAGTCCTCGTGCGTTTTTCCACGAGTCGCTGGTATCGAGGAGCTGGCCACGTGGTCGGTCTCCAGGTCTCCGGCGATCTCCCCCGGACACTAGCGCCCCACATCCACGTTTTCAAAAAAGAAACTACGTACCACGTCTATCTTATAACGTTGTCGATCAAATCATAGCACGAGAACGTGGACGTGGTCCGTGCTAATTAATTGTGCTACGTGCACAAATTGTGAATAAATAGATCACGTTTATTTTGCGATGTTGCTGATGAAATGACATTCCAATTCATGCCTGTACTACATCCACAAATTGTAGATGAGGAATGTGGCATATATGTATAAATGCACGATTAGCACGGACACAAGCCACGTCCACGTGCCTAGTCAGCGCGCCTTTTCAGAGGCTCGAAAACTCCCGCCGATACGCGGAGAACACGTTGAGCAAAGAGGTGGCACGGAATCCTACTAATCCTAGCCAACGCACCTCGATAGAGGCTCGAAAACTCTCGCCGATACGCGGAGAACACGTTGAGCAAAGAGGTGGCACGGAATCCTACTAATCCTAGCCAACGCGCCTCGATAGAGGCTCGAAAACTCTCGCCGATACGCGGAGAACACGTTGAGCAAAGAGGTGGCACGGAATCCTAACCAGCGTGCATATCGACAGAGGCTTGTTGGTAAAGTGAAAAACTGCTGAGCGAAGAGGCACGGAATCCTGGACAGCGGGCCTCGTCAAAAGCTCGAAAACTCCCGCCGATACGCCGGAGAACACGTTGAGCAAAGAGGTGGCACGGAATCCTATTAATCCTAGCCAGCGCGCCTCGATAGAAGCTCGAAAACTCTCGCCGATACGCGGAGAACACGTCGAGCAAAGAGGTGGCACGGAATCCTAACCAGCGTGCGAATCGACAGAGGGTTGTCGGTAAGGCGGAAAGCTGTTGAACGAAGAGGCACGGAATCCCAAAGCATAGCCAAGACTACTCCCACTCTCATACGGCGCGTAGGCCCCGCCTCTGGGCGCAAAAGCAGCATATATGCGTGGGTGGGGGCAGTAGGGTCCCCCTCCATGGCGCGCTGGCGGTCTCCGCCCCGAATACCTCTGCAACCTACTTGTTAATATGCGCTCCTGATACTTTTATTCGATTTAAACGAAGTTTCTGACGCTGCGAAAACCGGCTTTTGCTTAACCTCTCATCTCTATATATGTACTTTTAACAATATTTATGATCCTTTGTGCATCTCCACAGATGTGTCTTATACACATCTCTG